CTCTCTCTCTCTCTCTCTCTCTCTCTCTCTCTCTCTCTCTCTCTCTCTCTCTCTCTCTCTCTCTCTCTCATACACACACACACACACACACACAAAGTGATATACCCATGAGGGTGTATCCAGTGTTGGCACTACAGATGAGGGTGTATCCAGTGCTGGCACTCCCTGCAGGGACCCGATAGTTATTTGGGGGGGGAGGGGGGTCTGTAAATGTTTGCGTGTTGGCAAAGGGAGCAATGAGGTGCATGTCATGTGCTTGGAGACGTTGGTTTACAAGCTTTATGAAGAACAATATGTTGAGCAGCTGATGTGCTGTGCATTTTTGGCTCTTGTGGTTTTCCATTTGTGATGTGTTGCTCTGCTTCACAGACTCACAGTGAGTCACTTGCGTTGTTGTTGTTGTTGTGTTTGGATCGAGTTTCGGAACATGATTATGATACTGCAGGCTGGAACGCATAAAGGACATCAATGAGGCCTACATCAACGACGGGACAATTGCTGCATCGAGCACCCTGCGATCTCTCCTGTGAGAAGAGTTCAGATCCGATCATCCAGCTAATATGAAGGTGATGTCTTGGGTGGTTGTATGATTGACTGAATTATTCAATTATTCATCCAATCAGAGCATTGGATGATTTGCCTTAATTGGGTGATTGTGGGACAGACGTACTGAAGGAGTTTTATCCTATTCGATGATTGAATGATTGGATTGGTGGATAACTTCTCCAATGCGGATGATTGGATGATTGGATTGCTCGATGACTTATCCAATTCTGATGATCCGACTCTTGGATGAATTGCGACAGGAATTGGGTGTTTCTCAAAACTCATGCCACAGTACTTTGGGCCCTGGGAAGTGTTGGATAGAGTGTGCGACCGACCGGACGGTCCCTCGTCTGCCATCCAAATCCCTCGTCACCTCCGCACACACCCTGTTTTCCATGCATCCAAGTTGGCACCTTTTGCTGAAACTGATCAGTTTCCCTCCAGAAGATCAATGCTGCCCCCGACCATGGATGGACACGTGAACATTGACGACATTATTGAGCACACGCTGATGCCTGTACCCAAGCCTCCAGGCAGGGGACGTCCTCCGAAACCGCAGATGCAGTATCGAGTGCGGTTCAAACATCATACTGATCCTAAAGAGGATCGGTGGTTCACAAGAGAGGAGCTGATACGGACTGCTCCGCAGATTGTCTCATGGTTCAAAAGAGCTTTGAAGGGGAAACAACCTGCAGATTAAAGACTTCTCAGAGGACTATCGAAGTAAAGGAGGAGGGAGTGCGAGGATTTTACTCCTCGATGTACCCGCACAAGGCCCCTGCAACACACACGTGCCCGCCCTAAGTGAAGGCAGGCCCCTGAATCCCAATGAGCCCTGAGCTCGAATCTTGGTGGGCGCCAGACAGTTGCCAAGATCCAGTTGGTTACATCCACCTTGCTCGTGAGAATCTGAAATATTTGTGAGCCTTGCAGACTCTTCCAGCAACGTGGTGAAAGCAGGGAACACCGCACATTTGTGCCTGGCTGGTTGGGCATGCCTAACCAATTCGGTCCCAGGCCACTGTCTGAACGGGCCTGGGCGTAGACACTTTGGCTGAGCGTAAAGTTACAGGAAACTCGGTCCCACAAGACAAGCCACAGGCAGCGAGCCCGCCATTTTCCATTTAGGAAAGGGCCAGGCTACGTAGTAGGCACTCGGGCACTTGTGTCTGCGTGCGTTAGGCTGCTGGAGCTTTGGCTCGCGCACAACATGCTGGTGCAGGAGCCGGACGCGGACACAGTCGTGAGGTAGAAGGGCGCTGCAAGAGGCCGCGCCATAGCCCAACCTTCATAGCCAGGCTACCGTCTTCCCCCATACATAAAGCATATGTGTTGTAAACGAATACAACGCATACTGTGCGTTGTATTCGTTTACAACGCATATGCGTTATGTTTGAGTGAACAAGACCAACTTTACCTTCACAATGGGGTCGGGTCCAGGTAGGCTCAGTTTTGGACCACAGCTGAGAGCCTCAGAGCCTTGAAAAAACGGTAAAAGAAAAGTAGTGACGTACGTACCTTTCCATGTTCTGGCCAGAGATTCATTTATTTCCCCTACTTGGGGCCTTGCTCCACTCCTCAGCAAATGTGCAAAATAAGAATGAATCTTCTGCTAGAACATGGAAAGATACAACCCTTTTATGTCTTTTCTGTCTCAGTGAGCACCGTAGCAGCGAGGCCTTGGTAAGTGGCTTGAACTTACTTCCACTTTCTTGGCTGCGCCACTTCCTTGGTTGTCAGAAGCGCCTTCACTCACTCACTCACACACACACACACACACACACACACACACACACAGAGAGAGAGAGAGAGAGAGAGAGAGAGAGAGAGAGAGAGAGA